GTTCAGCTCCCTGCAGCAGAAAAATAATGAAGCCCTACCTAATAATAAGCAAAACACCCCTCCATGATGACACGATATGGCGGCCGCAGCAGCAGAGTTTGGTACTGCTAATAATAATAGCAACAACAGTAAATGTACATCCATCAGCTTATTGTTGCCGTTGCCACCACTCAACAAAAGCTACAACAGATACAACTACTACGACTACTACTAGCAATATACCTCTTTTTTTGTCTTATCACAGAGCAGCACACAGAAGAGCACATACACGTCTGTATACATCTGTGTACAGAGACGCGGCGTGTCGTGCACACATGTACTATTAGTACACATCTCCTAAACGTTCATCTTCAACGGCGCACTGCCCAAAAAGATACGCCGCTTGACATGCTTATAATTATAAGGTTGGGAGGAAAGTCGTGGGGGTGGGGAGACGGTGGAGGTATAGTAGCGAGACGGTGGAGGACGTGGTGGAGAGACACAGATACGCCGATACGGAGAGGACGGAGAGGGTTTGGTGATATTTCTGGGAATGGACACAGAGCGACACAGAGTGACCGACAGCAGGACAGCAGGAGGGGGACGGACTCTGACACAGAGAGATTGTTCGTGATGTAATTATTCATCGTCATCATCATCATCGTCATCGTCATCGTCATCATCCTCCTCCATCTGCAGGAGATGTTCCACTGATGCTATTATTATATCTATATGTCTAATACAGCAGCAGCTTTAGCAAAAGAGCGTCCTTGACGTAATTAATAAGGACACGCCTTTGCAGAAAGTATAAGGACACGCCTGACAAGATATACGTGCTCTGCTGTGATACGTGCTGAAAAATAGGAGTTAGTTCCAGAAGTGCTAAATTATATGTATGTACTTCTTTGTCGTCCAACAACTACTGGTGGGCGCAATCTATAATGATGATGATGCTAAATGATGATGATGCTAAATATCACGCAGAGAAGAACAGAGAATAGAGCACAACAACCACCAATACAACAACCCCGCGAATCGCGCTTTGTCGTATATTAGTAATAAAGTGCGCCGCCCCTACTTCTCACCGCTCGCCGACGACAAACAGACAATTGAAATGAGACCGTCACAGCGAGAGCTATCAGGACGTTTTTAAAATTTTATTTATGGAGCAGGCGCCAAGTAGAAAACAAGCCGCGAAGAAGCAGAAGACGACATGTGTCTAATGCGCGCGAGCCACGGAACAAGACAAATACCAATCAATACACCGCAACAAAAGCACAAAGAAACAGATTTAGCGTCCTTGAAAGGACACGTCGGCAGTAAGGGCGATTTACAAGTAAGTTGTAGAATATATACTAACGCTGCCCGGTCCAAGTCATCGGCTACTCCGCCCGGAGTGGTGAGTGAGTCTGTGCTAAGACAAATAGTAAAATTGCAGTAGAATGTGCAATTGATGATCGCGGGTTCAAGCCACGGCTGATGCAACAACTGCGGTTGCGATTTGGTGGCTTCTTCGCTGACGTGTTATATTATTAACCGACTTGTCCAGCACAGCAGCATGAGACGATTTATTAAGCTTTCTTCAACTTTTGTTTTATAAATAATAACAATCATTGTTGAATTGTTGAAACAAGAAAATGTGTTTTTTCTTAATGTATATAACCTAACGTTTTTTTCTGCATGCTGCAGGACAGGAAGAAGCAGGAACAGCAAAACGTACGTGAGGAGGCGGCACGTGCTATTATTATTATAGAGTGCTGGCGGGAGGGGGAAGAGGAGGAGGAGGAGGAGGAGGAGGAGGAGGAGGAGGAGGAGGAGGAGGAGGAGGAGGAGGAGGAGGAGGAGGAGGAGGAGGAGGAGGAGGAGGAGGAGGAGGAGCTTCAGGCTGAGAGGTGGAGAGCAGCAGCAC